AATGCAGTGTAGTATTCCATTGTGTGAATATACCACAGCTTCTCTATCCATTCGTTTGTTGATGGGCACTTAGGTTGTTTCCAGCTCTTTGCTACTGTGAACAAAGCCATGATAAACATGGTTGTGCATGTGGTTGCCATTTCTATGTTCTTAGCCTCTGCTGTGGCTGCCCCCACTTCTCTGTCACCTGGCACGGTCTTCAAGGTTACAGTGCTCTCTATTCCACACCTAGAAAGTTTCTGGTGCAGGAACTTAGGTTCAAAGGATGCACTTTGCTTCAGACTTTTCTTGATGGTAGAAAGAGTTTCCTCAACCTCTGTTGGTCTGGCCTTTATATTTAATTACAAGGCTTCACCCTCCCAGCCAAACCATGAACTGACCAATCTCCTTGGTAGATCAAAATAATTTGTTGTAATTGGCCAATTCCCATCAGACTTTCTAATCCTATTGGATAGTTTTACATATCCTATTTGCATAGTTTACTGGCTGTTGTTCCCTCGCAAGATTGGGATCTAGCCAAACAAAAAAAATTGTTTAAGAGTGGCATTCATACTGATTACATTTATATTCACAGTCCTACGATCTCCCAGAGCTCTAACGGATTAGTGGTTAGGCACTGCACTGCCATCCCAAAGCCACACAGTTCCAATCTACTAGGCGCACCAAGGGAGAAAGATGGGCAGTCTCCTCCTGTGTGATTAGCTTCTCTGAAAATCTTTCAGAGGGTCAGCTATGCGTCAGTCCCAACGCAACACTACTGAACAACAACAGCAAAAATCAGCTTCTAAGAAAAACTTCCCTAATCTACTTATCACAGAGCTAAATATAACAGAAAATAGTACCTTTTTAAATAATAAAAACTATTGCTTTTGTATAAAAAAAAATGGACCTATCTTGTGTCTTCTGATTTTCTCTCGGCCTTTTGGCTAAGATGAAGTGTAGTATTATGGGGAGCCCTGGTCACTTACGGGTAAGGAATTCTGATGCCAGCTCAAAGGCATTTGGTTCCAATCTGTCAGTGTCAGTTGCTTTGTAGGGAAAAAGGAGCACTCTCCTCCCTTGAGATTTACTGCCTCTGAAAACCTGAGGGAGGGTCATCTATGAGTCATTTCTGACTCAACGGTACACAACAAGGTGACCCAGATACAGCGATCATCAGCTGTAATGAGAAAAAAAAAATCAAGTTATTATTTGTACAAGAAGCAATGGTTTAAAAAAAAAAAAGCAGCAGCAGCAATGATTTACTGTTTAAAAAACAAAGGAAAAAGGAACAGCCCCTCCTGATACGTGGGGTTGTGACAAGTCAGAGACAACTCAAAAGCAAGTAGTAACAGCAATGGTTCAGGTTACTTCAGGGATCAAAACACAGAGGGTTTATTTAGGGGACTGAGCCCGTATTTAAATAAGGAAGGCATTATATCCTAGCAACGATGAGTGGCAGCCTATGTTGACTTGGACATTCTATTTCAGTCTTTTTTCCCCAATTGTTGTTGTTGTTGTTATGTGCCGTCAAGTTGCTTGCGACTCATAGCGACTCTATGTACAACAGCCCTAAACTCTGCTCTGTCCTGTGCCAATCGCACTGCCTCCAACACACCCATCCCAATTACCCCAGTCACTAAATCAATCCACCTCATAGGGGGCCTTCCCCTCCTGCGCTGTCCCTCCACCCTCCCAAGCATGATGTCCCTGTCCAAGGACCTGTCCCTCCTTACAACATGTCCAAAGTATGTTAGATGGCGCCCCAGAATCCCTGCCTTCAAGGAACAGCCTGGTTTAACCCTCTCCAGGATGAATCTGTTCCCCAACATTATAGAGTATAAACAAAATACTTGTGAAGATTATTCTATCTTATTTGCATATACTCATAATGAAGTTAGATTTATACTCCTAATAAAATAGGGTGCTTCAGTGGACCAGATCCCTTTAGAACTGCAATGATTTGCAGCACCTCATTCATAGCCCTGAGCTGACCTGAGCTCTAATGTGCTCTCAGCGGAGAAAGAATATAATCTCTCTTCTCAATCCACTTAAAATACTCACAGTGGAAAATTCCTTCTGGAGCTCAACCTGAAAGTAACCAGGAACCAATGATCACTGTCTCATTTTCTTAGCTCCGTAGTTTGACAGTATTCTCCGACAGGGCCACTTCAGAGAAGTCCAAAATTATCAGTATGTCCCTTTCATCCTAAAAATATCTTTATGCCTAAGTCTCCTTTGCTGTTGTTGTTTATTTTATTTTAAACTTTTGCTTTGGACTACATTTACGATGATTAGCCTAAGAAATACATCTCAGCAAAGACTATGGCGTCTGTCTCCTGAATAGAATCCCAGGTTTGGCTATATTGGCAGATGGCAGATTGAAAACTGGGTGAATCACCTGCTTAGCTGGGCTGCCACCGACTAGCCCTTCAGGCCCTTCCCGTTCTCTTGGAGGTCATGTGAGGCATCTTTGTTGCTTCCAGGATGTGAAGGCTCTGTACAAGCAGTTGGCAGGATCTGAGCTGGAGCAAGTCGACGTTCCTATTGGCACTGGTCTGGACAACATTCTCGAGACCATCAGGATTTGCTGGGAGAAAGATGTCGAAAAGAACCGATTGGAGGCAAGAGCCTTGCTTCAGGCCAAGGTAAGAGAGACGGTGTTAGCAGCTTCCAAGATAACAAACTGACCAACAGGCAAGGGGGAAATGCAAGAAATCCAATCTTATTGGATAGAAGAAATGCAAAACAAAACAAAACCCAAAAACCAACACTTTATTAAGGGAACTCTGGTGGTCTAGTGATAAGAATCCGCATTGTAATGTCAAGAGAATGTAGTTCAAAACCACCAGCTGCTCCATGAGAGGATGGGCAAGCTCCTCTAACGCAATTACTGCCTCTGAAAACCCACCGGAGGGTCACCTATGGGTTGACTTCAACTCTATGGTACACAATAACAAGAACAATGGATGTCTATGTTGTTGTTTGTTGTTAAGTTATGTCGAGTTGCTTGCGACTCATAGTGACCCTATGTACAACAGCCCTAAACTCTGCTCTGTCCTGTGCCAATCGCACTGTCTCTGACACACCCATCCGGATTACCCCAGTCACTCAATCAATCCACCTCATACAGGGCCTTCCCCTCCTGCGCTGTCCCTGCACCCTCCCAAGCATGATGTCCTTCTCCAAGGTCTTTTCTCTTCTTGCAACATGTCCAAAGTATGTTAGACGGAGCCTTAGAATCCTTGCCTCCAAGGAGCCACCCGGGTTAACCTTTTCCAGGGTGAATCTGTTTGTTTTCCTAGCAGTCCATGGTATTCTCAATACTCTTCTCCAGCACCACAGCTCAAAGGCATCAATTCTCCTTCTATCCTCCTTGGTCTTTGTCCAACTCTATGATGCATAACAAGTGATTGCGAAGACCATGGCCTATTTCAGACTCACCTTAGTCTCCAGAGAGACACCATTGCTCTTCAGCACTTTGGAGAGGTCCCTAACAGCAGACTTTCCCATGGCAATGCGCCTTTTAATTTCCTGGCTGCTGGTGCCAAGACTGTTGACTGTGGAGCCAAGCAAACTAAAGCTGTGTACAATGTCTATGTACCTGAACAAAATATACCTCTACCCAAATCTAGCGCAAGGTGGAACCACACAGAGAGGTAAGGTGAAAGATTTATTTTATTCCATTTCATTTTTCTTTTTAAAAAAAGTCTCGTTAATTTGGAAAACAATTAAGGCCCTAGATGGCATTGCATCCTGTCCCCTCATTTGAAAGGAGAGGAAACGGAGATGCAGGGAGGAGGAGAGACTTCCCAATGTCAGGCCGCTTACAGAGAGCACCAGCTCTCAGTCCAGGGCCTTTCACTTCACTCTGAGCTGCCATTTCTCTCTGGCTTTGTTCTCAAAGCTAAATCTTATAGGCTCTGCAGTTTGCAACTTTGCTTCTGTCCCCAAACTCCAGTGATCGATCTATAGGAATACTCCACTATAGAAAGGGGCAAAGTGCAAATTGAAATACCATTTGACCCAGCAGTTCCACTACTGGGAATATACCCTAAAGAAACAAATATATGCACACCCATGTATATTGCTGCTTTGTTCACAAGAGCAAACGGTTGGAAACAACCCAAATGTCCATCAACAAATAAATGGAGAGAGAAGCTGTGGTATATTCACATAATGGAATACTATGCTACTTTGAAAAATAAGAAGCTCATGAAATAATAAACAAAATGGGTGACCCTGGAGGACATTATGCTGAATGAAATATCTCAGTCACAAAAGGACAAATATTGCATAGAGCCACTGTTGTAAAATGGGACTGACATCGGTGTTGAGGGAAGACAGAGAAGGAGGGGATAAATAATGTATATTGCATTGAAACAGATGAGGGAGAGAACTGTTTCAAAGGGACACATGATTAGGTATTATGGTCATGACAGGAGTCCAGAATGAAGGCAGCATAGTGGAGTGGACTTGTGGGGAGGGGGATTGTATAACAATGAAAGAATTTTTCTTTTCTTTTTCAGAGAAGAGCAAATTCAGGGGGAGGAATGGGCAGGGGGAAAAGTGCAACAATGAATGAATGGAAATCCTAAGTCTCCGTAAACTTTCATTAAAAATAATTTTTTAAAAAGGGGAAAAAAGAAAGGGGCGAAGTAGTTATAGCTGAAGGAAAGAATTATCATATATTATGGAAAGGAATCCTTGGGTGGGATAACCGATGGTTAGGACTCTGCTACTGACTGAGGGGTGGACGTTTGTGTCCTCCTAGAAGTGCCTTGGAAGAAAGCCCTGGTGATCTATTTCAGAAACACGAGCCGTTGTAAACCCTGTGCAACACACAGCTCTACAGTGACCCACATGATGTCTTCTGGAATTGAAGTCAACTCCCCAGAAACCGTTGCTTTTAGCTGCTGTGAGTACAACTCACAGCAACATTGTGACCAACAGTTGTGAGCCCTGTCCTAGCCTGTGCCATCCGCTTCATCTCCGATACACTTGAGTCCGTGGCTGCTGTCACTGGGTCAGTCCACCGTGTTGAGGGTCTTCCCCTCCTTCACTGACCTTCCACCTTTCCAAGCATGATGTCCCTTTGCAAGGAAGAGTGTCTCCTAGCAACGTGCCCAAAGGATGAGACAAAGCTTTGCCAGCCTTGCCTCCAAGGAGCGCTCTGGCTGCACCTTTTCCAAGACGTATCTGTTTGTCCTGTTGTTATGTTTACTGTAGAGTCAGAACTGACCCGTGGCTGACCCTCCGGCAGGTTTTCAGAGGCAGTTAATTGAACGGGAGGAGATTGCCCATCCTTCTCCCACCAAGAAGCTGGTCGCCTCCCTTGAACCGTGAGTCTTCAGGATTGCAGCACAGCTTCTTGCCACTAGGCCACCAGTCTAACTGGCATAATATTAAAAAGGAAGGGGAAAAGATCAACCTGGTACTATTCACCTGTCAGTCTCCAGAGACTCCTCACCAGCCTGACGATAATTCCAGCATTAATTCGTCATTTTTTTTGTAGTAGAATACTCTGAAAGTTACATCTCAGAGAAAACAGACAGTGTTTGTTTCCATTCAGCCAAAGCTGCTGGGGCCTCTTGCAGAGAGGCTGAGCTCCGAAAATATTTGCAGAATGAGTGAATGCCTCTGCTCATCAGTGGAGATCAGACCTGACAGCGAGAATGCCTCCAGTAAAATTGCTTTGTCAGCTGCAGCTCTGCCTTCGGGGGCTGTTGCCCGTCCCTCACCTTGGCCGTTTCCTGGCAGCGAAACACCAACATGCAAGGGCTCAGCACACACTCCTTTCTGAAGCTTCTGCAAAGAGAATAAAAACATGCACTCCGTCGCTCTCTCCAGCCCAGGGAGGCTGAAAATGAATCAACAGGGTTAATGCACATCTTGGTTTTGGCTCCCTGAGAACCAGTTCGTGAGATAAAGAGTGAAGGTAATTGATGTAGATGTGGAGAGGGTGAAGGCACGCTAGGAAAACACCAGAAAAAAAAAAGGAGCAGGGAAGGAAGACAGTGAATGGATAAAGAAGGCAGTATCCAAGAAAAACATCAAACCAGCTCTCACAGGGAGAGCTGAGCAGAGGACCATAGAACACTCCAAAATGGTGTAGATTCCAGGAAAGGGACAGGGAGCTCTGGTGGCCTAGTGGTAAGGAGCTGTGCTACCAATCTGAAAGCCCATGGTTCAAATCTACCAGATGGACAATCTCTCCTCCCATGTGATTTACTGCATAGGACCATGATTGTCAAAATAGGATAACAACCAGTAAAACACGTATGGGAACTCAAGGGGGTGAGGCTGGGAATGGGTAGGGGTGAAACTACAGGGTTGCACAGTTTGGTGGGTGGAAGGAGCTGGGGAAGGAAATAGGAAGGATCCAGGAGAAAAGACAGGGTCATGATGGGCAAAATCCAGTGGTGATTAATTTTTTAAAATACAATGCATGAGAATGATTGTATGAAACACAATGTGAATGAAGAATAGTGTGAAACATAATGTGTATGAACTTTGTAAGCAAACAAACAAACAAAAAACACAACAACAGAACACCACCTTATTAGAGGGTCAGCTATGATTTGGTTCCATAACAACAGACAAAAGGGACAGGCGAAGAAGCTAGGGTATTATGGCCTTTCAAAGACGAAGGGAAAGGTTTGAGACAAAGTGACATGTCTGCGGGCAGAGGGAGGTGGCTTAAGTTTGAGGGAATCAATGGAAGCACCAACTGCATCAGTACAACGATCTCCCAACTCTATATCTTAATCTAAGAGATTTATTGATCATTTAAAAAACAGGTAAAAACCACCACCGCCACCACCACCAAAAATCCCAGTTCAAACCAGGGACATATCTTATCCAAAAAGGGGAATGAGACCTTTCTGACTGTTTTGTTTGTAACTTACCACCAGAACTGACTGGTGAGCCAATTCTGACTCCCAGAAATGAACTGCCCCGTGGAGTTTCCCAGGCTGTAAATCTTTATGGAAGCAGATTCCTACATGTCTCTCCAGTGGGGTAGCTGATGGATTCAAACCACCCATCTTTCAGTTAGTAGATAAGCCCTTAAACACTGAGCCACCAGAGCTCTCTCTTTAAGACCTTCAACTTGTTACATTTAGCCTGCCCAGGATAACCTCATTATTTATCAACTGAAAAACAACTGGTTTGAGACAGACATCTAAGACACAACTATTAGTCACTTCCTGACATTAGCAAAAAAGAGCAAAGAAAAAGAAAAAAGGAAACAATTCATTTTAAAAACCACATGAATTTTATCTTCAGCCTACATTATCTTGAGATGAGAAGAAATAGACCGTAGCCAGTTACCAGCACCAACTGCTCTGATCAGGATCTCATTGAAGACCTTTGACAGAGTGCAAAAAAAAAAAAAAAAAATAGGACAAAATTCAGTATTACAAAAGACTTACTGGTCTAATAGAGACTAAGACCTTTAAAAGCTGACCTTAACCTACTCTTAGAAATCACCTTTCAGCCACGCAATAGAAAAGCCTATTGAGAAAAACATAATGATGACAGAAGGACTGATGCTTTTGAGCTGTGGTGTTGGAGAAGAGCACTGAATATCCCATGGACTGACAAAAGAACGAACAGAAATGTCCGGAGAAGGTGCAGCTAGGGTGCT